GACACTGTGACTTCACCTTCCCAAATGAAAGGTGAGAAAACAGCAGGCCTAGTTCCATCTGCTGAATAACCCACAATCCCTCACTCCATATTACACTATTAATTCTTAATTTTACCTATCATTACACTTCAGCAAGTAAATAAATGAAACCAAAATAACTGCTTATATCCATAAGTAATCAAAGCGTATTTAGTGCTCTAGTAAATAGTTTGTTTTTCTAATTTTCCTGTAATTAGCAGAGAAAGAATTAAAATCAATTCCTCATCCCGCAGATAAAAATTAGACTCAGCTTTTGCCCTTACACATATCCAAATTTGAATGTACACATGAAACACAAATTCAAAATTGTTCTGTAATATAATCTGTATCCAATATTAAACACGTTTCTATGACATTTATTTTATCTCCCTGATCACAGCTTAATAAAATTATAATTATGACCTTTCAAAGCATTGTCGCCTGATCCACACTTAATCAGCATTCTTGGCTTGGCGTCTTGGTGGTGGCAGGGGTGCTGCATTTCATCAGCTGACAGATCATGTAGGTGGTATGGCGGGTGCTGAGAACAAGGATGAACCTTTGGCTGCTCAGCCTGGTACCCCAACGTTCAGAGCAGTGGCTTAAAAAATAGTCATTGAGAGATGAGTCAGCATGTGCTGCGTTTGGGCATGTCTTCCATTTATTCACGTTGGCACCCATGAGAATGGCGCTTCACCACCAGGCCCAAAGGAATGGGGCGATCAGGAAGGGCTGTGCTGGGCAGGGAGCGGGCAGGGCCTTATTAGGAATGAGCTGGCTATCAGCCCGGGTCCAGCTGGCAAACATACCTGCTTTCACCAGAGCTATCCTGATTGAAGACATGAACTCTCAGATGGCTGTGTACCAGCTGAGCCACATCCTTCTTTAAGATCTAGAATGTCACAGATGTTTGGTGTTGGTTTCAGTACAAAATACGCTGGAGGAATGATACGATTTCTTCTGTGGGTTATGTTGAGACTATTTTGGAACCGCATGGAATTTGGAGGAAGATTGGAAACGCCATTCACGGCTGGTAATTGTCACGGAACCTTCCGCGAAGGTCGTAAACAGCAGGAGAAGGTTTAAGACAGTTTCAGGGTTTCCACTTAGGCCTAAGGAATAGCAGTGTGTTCTTGGGCAGAGACGGTCACTTACAATCCTGCAAGTGTGGCACATGGGTGACAAGCAGAGTTGCTCTTTCTGCTGGGAACGAGGGGTGTCCGCTGCACACGATGCAGCCGGCCTAGTGCCCCCGCGGAGGAGGAATCACAGATGCCAGCTCCTATTGGGGCGGGGGGAGGGGCCAAGAAGGGAAGAAAATGCGCTCTCTGCCTGTTGTTACCCAACTTGGGAACTTGCAAATCTGTTGGATTTCGATTGGGAGAGAGAATAAAGCATTTGAGGTTATTTTGGTTACTCTGTGCGGAAATCACCCGCCACGCCTAACGAATTCAACAATTTCATAGAGCCGCCGTTGAGCACGTGAATTACAGTTTTATTCATTCCATTTATTCAGTGAGTCAGGCTCTGACATGGGGTTGATTTGTTGTTTAATATTTGGGGAATTATTTTGGTATATCTGGAACATGTTTACTTAAACACTGTGTGTTAAATGAGATGTTTTCATTTGTTTTGATAGGTACTTATAAAGGCAGTGCACAGCATTTCACACTTAGCAGCACTTTCCGAGTCCTCAGCACAGCACCAGGATTCACGGAGGGACCACCCCGTATGTTTGGGAAGTGCCAGCCTCCTTCCACCCAGAGAAAAGCCCAGAGCCGAGCGGACGGGGGTCTTCCCCCATCGCTGGCCTGACACACCACGCTAGGACCAAACATTGTGGGCAGCAGCAAAGAGCCGGGGGGAGGAAATCGATTCTTCTTGCTTGTTTTGTGGTTCTGAGGGTGTTACCATAACAGCATGGACTCCTCTCTGAATTCAGCAGAACATATGGGAAACCTATACTTAGTTTATCATTTCAAGCCCTCACTCCCCCACTCCCATCTCCCCCCCAGGGGTCCTCAATATGGTACCAATTCTACAGGTTAAAAAAAAAATGTTGAACTGAGTGAAGCATCCTTTCTCTGCGACCCATGGGCCAACAGTGACATGTCCTGAGCTTTGATTGGAGTTGCAATTGACCACTGAACTTGACATTGTTCCTAGAATGGCTGTTGTGTCAGCCATGGAAGGAGAAACGCAGTCACCATACCTGAACCCTGTGTGTAGCCACCAGAACAGAGATGGCTGTGGCCAAAGACAGCCACAAAACGTGCCAAACTAAAAGAGGGCAAAGGCGATCTTTAACATTAGTCGTGAATGTCAAAACAGACTAATTGAGAATGTGCTTCTCTGCCAAAAACTAGGCAGCGTTGAGGAGTTGGTTACATATAGGACATCTTCACTCTGCTGTTTCAGCTATCACGTCTAAGGGCTTGGATCTGATTTTTGAGAGTATAGAAACTCAGCAGCTATATACGTGCCTGTTAAATTCACAGTGAGTAGCTGAAGCGTCCTGGCATCGCTCAGAAACATCATTACTGAGCCATCAGCCGTTCTTTCAGTGTCAAAGTCATTTCTGGGATGGCACAAGTCCAAGTCTAATTTATTAAAACAGAAGAGATCTATAAACACCTGCATGTAATTGATTAGTAAGTTGGGGTTTCTTTAACTGGCTGTTTATTCCTCTGTTCACGACAATGCACTGAAACCAAGAAACAACAACAGCGAGTCACGGATCCTGTGCCAAGTTATTAAAGACTTTTCTTTTGGAAAGTGGGTTATTGTACTGGGGGCCTCAGCCTTGGAGCCCCCAAGACCTACCCTCCATTATTAAAGTGCTGTATTCTTTTGTTCTTGGCTTACTGGATGGAAGACTGTGACATGTTGGACAGTGTTATTTTTTTATGTAGAAAACGATTAGGTGAAAAAAGACCAGTTTTAAGGGCAAGTTATCTAATTTGTGTTTCTATAGATGGTAAATATACCCCCATGTTTAATCTCAGAGAGTAGAGGCTGATCTTCCCCCATACGCACATCCCTCTGTCACATAATTGCACATTTGGTTCTGTATACCTTTCTGGTGATTTTTTGAATTTCATCTCCAGTAAATGGAATTTGGGATCACTCTTGTTGGAGATTGTTGGTGTTTGGGCAGAGAGAGGCAAAGCAGAGGCTCAGCAAGTGAGGGTTTGTGAAGATGCCCTGGGAGAAGAAAAGGAAACGCACCTGGAGAATAGCGTTCCCACCCATCACAGAGTCAGGGGCTGTGCTTTTCAGAGAACCTGTCACGGGCAGAGCTAAAGCCACGTGAGCCTGTGTGTGGCGATGGGGCTGGGGCAAAATTATGTAAATTCTCGCTTTCACAAATGCTATAATTGTCTACAAAGAGAATCCAAGGGGATCAACTGAAAAATTATTGGAACTTTATTTTTATTTTATCAGAATATTTATTTGTTTGTTTTTTTATTAAGCAGAAGTTTATCCAGGTGAAAACTACAAGATTTACATACAGAAATCAATAGCTTTTGTTATGCATCAGGCAAAACCAACCTAAAATAGTGATTTCAAAAAAAATAACATTCAAAATAGCCACAAAAGTTCAAAATATGCAGGAATAAGAATAGAAAAGAAACATATTGGACCTAAGTGAAGAAAATTATAAAACTCTACTGAAGAACATAAAATTAAGATTTGAATAAATGGGGAACTACACCATAGTATAAAGATGTCTATTCTCCCATATATTAGTATCTAAATTTGGGGAAATTTCTGTCAAATGGCCAACAGATTTACTTACCAAGTTTATTCTCAACTTCATCTATAGAAAAAGTATCCAAGTACGAACAAGAAACTTTGGGTGTAGAATGATGGTGAGGCTGAGCAGTGTACAGAGGGAACTATGAATGGCCCCTGGGTGGGAAAAGATGCTCCGTCTCACTGATAATCACAGAAATGCAAAATAAGATTACAAGATACCAATTTTTTTGTCCTTAAATATCTAAAAGATAATTTGTGGGGGTGGGAGAAACAGAAATGCACAGATCCTGTTGGTAGGTGTTTAATTGGTCCAGTCTTTTCCCAACAAGGGTCATTTGGGAGGATTTATAAAACTTCGTGCACACCACCCCATCCAGCATTCACAAGGTAACCTTTCCGGGATTACTCCAGGGACGCGTGTCAACACACACCCAGGGAGGCTGATCAAGCATTTTCATGTAGCACCAGGTCTGACAGCCAGAAATTAGAAACAATGCAAACTCGCCTTAATAAGAGGGTCATTTTTAAAAGCATGGCACATCCATATTAGGACATATAGTGCAGCAGTTTAAAAAGCAATTCGGTCTCTTCACACCAACACTGCAAGAACTCCAAATACACTGTTAAATAGCGAAAGAAAGTTACGGAACATAAGATACTGCGCCAACACAGTATATGTTCCAATTTTTATGTACCTCTGCACATCTATGTGATTGTAAATGCGCAGAATAAAAATAAATGATTAACTTACTTCTGAGATCAGGAGCAGGACTGGAGATGTGAAATCAATGGGGACTCACTCCTACTTCCTCAGTATTGTTTGAAATTTCAAAGTGAAAATGTAATGATATAGTAATTATGTGATTTTTAAAACTCCCCCAAAAGTAAATGTGGCAATTTTAAAATTCGTTAAACACATTTTCATTTAAAACACATTCATTTAATATGCATATATCTTCAAATATCTTTATTTTATCAGGACTTGAATGTTTTTCAGCTTTATTAAAAATCATAAAAACACCTTAAAGGTGAGAGTAGTAAGTCTGTTGTTCTTGTTTCTCAACAAAAGGACGTTCATCTCTATGTTACTACAAGAAAACGTCAGCATTAAGGTATATCCAATCTCTAATTCTAAACAAATCTTGTGTTAAATAGTAGTAATCGATTGAAATGTCCAGTGAAATACCAATATTACAAAACTCATCGAGAATCTTCTGGAAGGATTAGAACTTCAGTGGAGAACCAGCCTTTTTATCAATAGCAACCCTTACTTTGGGATCCTTTTTGAAAAAAACAGCACAGCTTTGCTCAGGAATAAACTTAAAAGTACTCCATAGCTCATTATAATGTCTTGGAAAGCGTCTGAAAACTGGGACCGCCACAGCTTCCCGATAGACATATGATATTTGGTTATTTGAAAAGCCATCAAAACGAGATGGAACATAGTCACATGCCCAAAGATTGAAATTTCTTGAAACGTGTTGCCTTTTTTCTGGGGAGATCTTCCTACGTCCCAGGCCCTGGGGAAGAATTACAAAAAGATTAGGAGAAACATATTCAAGGTCACACAGTTCTGAGATCTTCCAGAAAACCAGCTACATGACATCTTATGTGTAAATGCATACTACGACAACCATTACAAGGCGTATCCTTTACCAACCTGTTGAAGGCTGTAAATGAACGCTCAAAACATGCTGCAGTATTTTGTTATTGTTCTTGAAGCCTTCTGCTCCCAGGGGACTGGACTTCTAGAGTCACTGAGGGCAGAACCAGAAAGACCACAGCTGGAAACAGCCTATTAACTAGTGTGGACTCCCAAGGACCCCAGGTGGGTTCCCTGCACCCAGGCGGCTCTTCAGTGTCCCCACCCTGGGCGGCACCCCCAGCATTTGGCGGGACAGATGGTTCTCACTCTGAGAAGTCTGAAGAGGTTGGATTCTGTTCCTTCCCAGAGGGTTCCCAACAAGGAAGTAGCACCTTTGGGTCTCTGCCCACAGGTGTCCTCATTAACTCTCAGCACCCCACACGTGACCCTGAGAATTACCGTGTATTCACCGTGTATCACCAGTACTTTTGATTTGATCATTACCAGGTAAAGACTAAAAACAGAACACTATGTTTAGACAAAAGACTGGGAGGAAACAGACATCAGATTACATAGACTTTACATTAGTAGAGTGAGACTGTCTTTTCATAAGGGTGATATTCAAAGTGGCAGATGGCACACTCAAATTAGGGTACTTTAAGGGGAGTTTAACGAAGGGACTCTGTGGGGAGACCCCAGGACACAGTGCACTGGCTCTGCATGTGAGAGGCATTGGGGAGGACCGCAGTCCACACAGGCCAGCCACAGGCCCACGGCAGAGAGAAAAGGGGAGTGTGAGTCTGGAGGGACAAAGGGCAGGTGCTGGTCACACTGACCGAGAGCCTTCCTAAAAAAATCACTGCAGATACTCCAGAAAAAAAAGAAAGACAGAAAAGGAAGGGATAAAATGAATAAGGAAAGAGCTACAAGGAAAGTAACAAGTAAAACTTGTAAGTCTAAATACTTGCTGATAAGGTGACTATGAAATATATCGAAACTTTCAGAATCCACAAGATGAAAAAAAGGAACGAAGGGAGGAGGGAGGGAGGGAGAAAGTGGGGAGAAAGAGGGCGAGAGCCCAGGGGTGGGTCACCAATCTGGAACTGAAATTTCAGGATTTCAAGTTGATTAGGGAAGTGAGGGCCTCTTAACATTATCCCATGGGAATGGTACCTCTATGGGCTGGGAGAGTACAGCCAGGCGACCAACACAAGAACCCCTAGAACAGGAAGTGACAGACGTAAGCACTCTGAAGGACCTATCTTATTCTTGGGGAAAAGCTACAGGTACTAATTTTTATACTCATAGAGTAATAAAGCGTTAATATATTTCTTAAACACTAATACTTAATGCTTTAACATTAATACTTAATGTGACCACTAGTGGAAGAATATCTAAAGAAGTCAAAGTGAGCAAATAAATTCAATCTAGCAAAGTTAGGAGTGGGAAGCATGACATACAAACATAAATAGGAAACATAAAATGAGATGGCAAAAGTAAAACCAAAAACAAATACCATAATAACGTGACTGGGTTAAATTCTTATATAAAAAACAATGACTCCGGGATTTTTAAAAACCATGTTCTATTCTGTTTGTAGTAAAAAACAAACCCAAAACAAAATGACTACAAAGTATAAAGACAAAGGAATGGACCATAATATAAGGAACAAATGTTTACAAAAAGATATTAATATCTATGCTAATTAATATCAATGCTAATATCACAATGTAGAGTTAATGGTTACATGCATTAAAGCATATAAAGAGGAATACTTCACATTGATAAATAACAAAAGCCACTAAGAAAATAAAATAATAATGGATTTTTATGCAGAAAGATATGGTATTCAACCATATGAGGCAAAAAATATTTAGAAACTCAAGAATAATCTTGGAAGGAGAAACTGATAGATCAAGACAAACATTAAGAAAAGTATATGAAGGATATAAATAACATAATTAACAGCCCTACATTAATAAAGATGAAGAACTTTGTAACCAACAGATGGGGAATATATGTTCTTTCTCAATACCCATGGAACACTTGTTAATATGAATCATATACAAGATAATAAAGATAATCTTTATAATTCAAAAAGTAGAAATCACAGCTCACATTCTATAAAACTTACTATTATATAATATAACCCATAGAACCAGATATTTGCAACAAAAGGATGATCTTTAAAAATTTTAACCATATGCAAAATTCAAAACATTCTTATAAAGCATTTTTAGTTAAAAAAGAAATAAAAAGATTAAGTCACAAACTATTTTGGAAGCAAATAATAACGAGACCCTAGTTAGAAAACCCTTTGGGATGTAGCCAAAGCAATAATCTGAGACATATTCATAGGTTTCATGAATTAAACAAAAACAGTTGCAAGTATATAAACTAAACATTCAACTGAAAAAGATTAAAAAGGGCAACATAAGAGTATTTTTTAAAAATATTATACCAATTAATTTGAAATGAAATAGGCAAATTTTAGGCGAACACATATTAACAAAATCTACTCAAGAAGAGATAGGAAGTTTGAATAAATTAATCACCATGGGAGAAAATGAAAAGGTAGTGAGAAAAACTTACTCTAAAAAAGATATCAAGCCCAAATAGATTTACAGGAAATTCTATCTAATCTTCATTAGACTGAAAATCCACACATTATATATAACTTATTTCAGAACATAAAGCTGGAAAGCTTCCAATGCTTTTTGTGAGACTAGCAAAAACCTCTGATAAAATATATGTGGCTCAATCCTGTTTATATGACTAACAAGATACACACTTGTATGTGTATGTTTCATATGAATTGCAAAAATTCTCAGACTTGGCCCAGCAAACCATTATCAGAGAATCATCAAGGTGATGAGATTGTGAGGAGGAAAAACAAGGGTGCAAATTTTAATTTTCTATAATTCTGTTTTGTTTGATAATTTTAAAGGACGTATGCTACTTTGGTAGCTTAGAAAATCGTTTTAAACATTCAATTTAGAGAAGCAGGCACAGTGGCTATTCTTGTTCTGTATTCAACACTCTGCAGAGGTACACCAGATTTTTAAAGTTAACCCACTCCAATTTAGCTTCGACATTGCATCCTAGAGGAGAGGGTAGCTTTGGGCAAATCGTTTCAATTCACTGGTTCTCAGGTTCCCCACCTCTAAATTGGGGATGATAAGAGTAATTAACTGATAGGGTGGTGTGAGTAATAAATGAAATACTGTGTAGACATAGCATATGGCACATGCTTAATAAATGGTGGGTGTTATTAACATCCTCCTCCTCATCATCATGGACATTCAGGTTTGGTAAGGATTCTCAGAGATCGCCTGATACAACTTTCTACCTAAGATATGTGAACCCTGCCCCATCCAGTTCCATAGCCCCAGCCACGCATGTTTTTGAGCACTTGAAGTGTGGATCTTCCAAATTCAGGGGTACCTTAAGTGTAAAATACAAACTGGATTTAGACTTAGTTTGGGGAATGTAAAACATCTCATTAACAATTTTAAATTGCTTACATGTTGAACTGATAATTTGGGGAATGACTGGATTAGAGAAATACATAAGAATTTCCCCTGCTTCTTTTTACGTAACATGGTTACTGGGGATTTAAAACTACATATACAGATTGTAATATATTTCCATTGCACAGTGCTGTGTTAAGCCACCACTAACAAGGGCAAGCATTTTCTCCAATGATGGGGGAGTCACCACCTCTAGAGGAAAGACAGCTCCGGTTATCAGGAAGTCCTTCTTTATGTTATGTAAGCTCTCCACCTTTGATTGTCCTCATGGGTCCTGGCTCTGCCACCAGAGACATACATAGGCAATCCCTCTTTCCCATATTGTCACAGGAAAGCTCGCTAATGAGACAGCAAGGCCGTCTGAGAAGCATGAGGTGCACAAAAACTTAGTCAGGAGGCTGCTGTGACGTTGAGAGCTTCATGCATTTTTTTTTTAACCTGTAACCTCATGAAGCTTTCATTTTGACCTTGTTTCAATTTTGAGGTCAGTCCTCTATCTTCAGCGCTTCTTGGAAAATTAAGAGTCCCGGTGTCACTCCCCATTTGATTAGTCATTTGAAGAGGAATACTCACAGAGTCCAGGAAGTCTCCAAAATTCTGCAAGCTGTGCCGATTGTCGTGTACGGAGAAGGGGAAGTTGTTATTGACAGCTTGCTGGGAAAGAGGGAGGGGAGAGATGAAAAGCACACATCAGGACCCAGTAAGCCTTTGGAACTGGCCTATAGTGGTGGAGGGCAGACAGGCGAGCAGGTGGCCTCGAAGTGAGAGTTAAATCCATCACCGGGGATGCAGCAAACAGCACAGCATGGTGAGGTCGGAGGTGTGCACGTCAGCTCACAGCTTTGAAACGCAACTTTACTGCCAACTTGCTAGAAATCATAAAAATTCTTTTTCAAAACACCTTCTTTGGAGGCAGGGAAGGAAACGTTTACAGGCTCATGGAACTGAACCTTGGAAAGGAGTTCTGAGGCCATCTAGGCCAACCTCTTCATCTGGCCTGGAAGGATCCTGGAAGGCTGGAGCCCTGGCCCTGCTGGCAGGTGAGGCCGTGAAGTATGAAGTATGCTTCTCCTCGGGCCACTTCCTGCCCCTGAAGCTGCTCACGCATGGGCCTGGGAGGCAGAGTGTGTGTGCTAATGAACTTGAGCTATAACCAGAGGTGTTGCTTCTTGTCCACAGACAAGCCTAACCTGATGGTCTGGACCAGGGGGTAGTTCCTGCTAGAGAGTACCCAGGGTGTCACAGTGACCAGGGTAGGGATGCTACCAGGGGTGGTAAATGAGCACTTCCTTCCAAGGAAGGATTATCTGGCCCCAAATGCCAGTGGTGCCGCTCCCTTGGAGAGCTGTGGGGGCAGGTGGCCGTGGCCGGAGCTCTGGACTCACCTTCTCCCGGACTTTGTAGATTGGCGGTAGCTTCCTCTCTATTTGTCGAGAGAAATGTGGGCTGTGGGGCTCTTTGAACGTAGCACTGGAGATGGATTCCCATGTCTTCTGCGCTAGTCCAATGTGGGGGAACTAGAAAAACAGCACACGCCTTGATTAAAACCAGACACATCTGACTTCTAAGCCAAGTATCAGGGCTTCCTCTGTAAAGTGATTAAAATGCAATTTGGGTGCTTCTGGCATGTGATGGAAATGGCATAATGTTAAGTATTCTTTCCAAGACAAAAAAAAAAAATAGTGTAACGGCCCAAGGCCATTATTGCCGGTTGTTTCAAGTTACAGGGGCCGCCCCCTGCTGTGCTGGAGCCTGGGAATGTGTCTGTGCCTGGTAAGGAGGGTGTGGCCCTGTGAGAGGGAGCTGATGAACTCTGAGAAGGCAGAGATATGTTATCTGAGATCTCCTTTCTGGCCAGGGAGCTCCAGATACTTGGCGCCAAAGATCTAGCCCATGTTTACAGGGGTAAGCCAACCTCCTAAGGGTATGAGGTGGAGTCTAAGACACACGAAAGTAGAGCAGTGAAGGGTCCCGGTTGACTCTTCAATGAGAATCTAGGGTGGTAAAGAGTGGGAGTATTCTTAGGGGGGCTAGGGGGACTTGGTGTCTCCCTATGAAAAGGAGGGAAGGAAACAGGACTGGGCAGAGAGAGGTGCTCCCAACAAAGGCCTCAACCAACCCCACAGAGAGCTCTGGACATGGGATGGCCTCTCAGAGTTGTCCTGAGTTGGAGCAAGATGGCTGGGCCTTTGTGCACTCTCATCAATCAGTCACTAGATGTGGGCTGCCCAGGAAGAGGGGGGAACCCGGGGGAGGCCCCTCTCCTCTGGGTGGACTGACCGCCCAGGGCCGCACTCTCAGTAGCTGGGAGAAGGAGGCTGTGGGAGACACCTGATGGCCACGGTAGCTCACCCCAATGTAATTTAAATAGCACCTCTTAAAAGCCACTGCAACAAAGTGGGCTCTGAAGTAGGATTCTTTAGGAGAGAATTATGAGTGAAAAGTAAAACACAAACAGAGCTCAAGACCCCAGCTCTTGGTGAAACTTCCCACAAAGGGAGGAAGTATAATGGGGTGGGTGGGTCAGACTGTAGACCCAGAGTCCAGAGTCCGGTCCCAGCTCTCTCTCCTGTGAGGCGAGCCTCATGCAAGACATTCAACTTCTCCAGTTTCTTTATCTGTAAAATGGGAAGGATAATAATATCTACTTGGTAGGGTAGATGTGATTAGAAGAGACAACGCTCAGTGATCAATAACTGTTGGCAGGGTCTCTTTTTGCTCCCAGCTGTCCCCTCCGCGTCCCCAAACCCATTGCCATGGCCTCAGCCATGGCCTTTTTCCTTCTCTTTTGAATTATTATATCAGGCCACACTGCCGTTCTCTCTCATTCCTTCTCAAGTCAGAGTACAACAGTGTGTTCAGGTGGCTTGTGTTTCACGTCAGCACAAAAGCGTGTTTAGTTTGTTACTATTTATGTAAAAAGGTGGGGGGATTATAGCATCTATGCTGTACACTTGGGGTGTTCTCAGCGGTGGTGAGAAGCAGCAGCGAGCTAGATGCCACATAGCAACGGAGAGATCTTTTAAACACAGTGCTGGGTGGAAAAAAGAAGAAACGAAATGGGATCTATAAACTAACACCATGTTTGTAAATAAATAACTCGTGTACACAAAACAACAATACATAATTTACCAGAACATATGCAACCGATTAAACACATCTCACTGGCTGCCTGTGGGGTGAGGAATGAATGGGACAGAGCGACGAAGCAGCCACAGCAACCATCACACCGTCCTGCACCCCGGCTCGGGCTCTCAGAAGGATGTGCAGGGAAGTGGCTCCGGGGCCCCCTCGGAGGAGAGGGGGTCACAGAAGGAGAAAGCCTTCCTTTTCATGATCATTTACCACCATTTAAATGTTTCTTAATAAGATACATAGATTAATAATGTAATCTATTACATTGTGCTTATCCACAACAAAAGTGAGCATATTTGTTTCTGATTGGAGTTGTAATACATACTCATGGTTTTAAAAACAATGCAAACAATAAAAAAAAAATAAGGAAGGAAGTATAATTCCCCAGAAATCACATCCCCCTTTCACCTTAACTCCTGGGTGACCATATTTTTCATACATCCATATATATATATATATATATATATATATATATATATATATATATATATATATACATTTTTGCACACATAGGATCATATTATAAATGTGATTTCTAAAAATTATAAATACCTTTTAACCATCACTTTTGTTACTTTCTCCTTCCTTTTTCCTTCCCCTTCCTGTCGCCCCCACTGCCACTCCAGGTAACAATATTAACAACTGAGTGCTCACATGATCATATTGGAAATCACCTGTCCCCAGCAGGGACAGCTTATATTGCCTCCACAAAGACCAGACCACGTGCTGCATCCTATCTTTCACCTTGCTTTTCTCACTTAATACAGCCTAGACATTTTCAAAGTCAATGTACACATTTCTAATGTTTTTAAACAATTATTTTTTTAAGTAAATATGAATAACACAAAGGGCCTCCGAACTGAGAGCCTCTCCCTCTCCCTCCTCCAGTCTGACTGGTCACCCTCCTGTGGGGAAGCTGTGATGCCAGTCAGTCGGGGGCGGGAGCTGTTCTAGCGTCAGGAACCAGCCCTCTCACCAGCTAGACGACTACGGACTTGACTTCATTTGTATTCTGCGAGTCCATGGACTGAATCGCTGTTAAAAAAAAAAAAAAGTGGCTCTAGCATTTTAATTTTACTCTTTTAAAATATATATTTAATGGCTATACCATGATAGCTGTGAAATAAACCCTTCTGTTAGATATTGTAACCGTGAAATATAGCTTTTTAACTAGTTAGCGGTGAAATTTTTGCTGCATTCAATCACTCGACGACTGAAATATTAAAGAGGAAGGTGAAAGTGTGTGCAAAAGCCTTTCCTACCCGGCAACAGCCAGATTACACCCAGCAAGGTCAACTGCAAAACGACTGTCACTTCTAATGTGGCAATTACTGTCCTCCCAAATGGGCTGCGGCTGACTCAAAGCCAACAATTTCTTTAATTTTCCCAACTCGTGTACAAGTCACTTTGGGAAACTCCAGGATCCGCTCCACTCCTTCATGCTCTCAGGTGCTGGCAGCAGAAAGGACCCATGCCCAAGGCCAGAGTCGGACATTGGGGGACCGTGTCTCTCCAGCTAAACCAAGCCCTGGGCACACTCCTAGGATTGCAATAGGAGATGAAACGTTCATTCTCGCTTCCTGCCTTGCACAGAACCCTGACTGTGCTTGGGGTGCAATGTGGCTGCTTAAAAATACCTCCCCAAACTCCTTTGCAGCTAAATTGGCCACGAGACCGCAAGAGATGAGAACAGAAGCCAGAGAGGCAGAGCTCCTGGGAGAGCTGCTGTTCTCTCCACAGAAAGGGGCAGACTCAGCTGCCAGGTGCCTTCTGCTTTTTTGCCCTTTGACCTTCCCCTCATTTACCTGTCTGAGTTGAATATTCCCACACGAAGGATGTCAGAAAAGGCTGAAAGGAACCTGGGGCTCCGAGGACTCCCTAGGACAGAGGTGCCAGCCCCGGACTGCCTACTTCTGGATTTATTGATACTTGAGAAATACAAACCCTTATTTGGTTAAGACACCATAGTCAGCTTTTCATAATATTCAGTCAAACACAATCCTGACTGCTATTGTAGGTTTTCGAAAGAGGCAAAGCTACTCAGTGTGAGAAACTTAGGCTTTTCCCTTCATAACTGATTAGCGTTATGGTGTTCACACTATTTCCCATTTTACTTTAGCTGCCAGGGAACTCAGAGTCAAATTTGATGCCCAAATGCTACCATGCAGGCCATATGGGCTCTGTGTGTGTGTGTGTGTGTGTGTGTGTGTGTGTGTGTGGTACATATTTTCCCATTCTTATTTTAAAGTATATTTAAACTGGTTCTGAATTTTTATTTTATTTATACTTGACTATTTTACTGTGAATATTTTCCATACATTAAAGCTCCGTGGAACAAAGCAGGTTGTATGTAGCAGAAAGAATCTATGTATGTATGCATACATACATGTATCCACACGCATCCACACAGCGGCAAGGGCAGGTCTCACACTTACAGGTGCAGCAAATGTTTCCTGAAGGGGGCGATCCCACAGGCTTTGTAAGTGATATCCTAAGACAGGGGTCTGAGGAAGAGTGTGAAGCTGAAAAGGTCAAGTTTCCACAGACCGAGGTGGGGAAATGAGGCATTTCTGCACTCCTCCCCTCCCAGTCTGGCGGGGCTGAGGGGGCTCAGAGTAGGCCAACCGGAATTTGTGTCGTGTTTTCTCATATAACAAGAATTCCTTCAAATGCTTTTGGAGAGCCTCCTGGGCACCAGGTCCTGTTCTAGGCACGTGGGATACAGTCAGCGAATAAAAAAGACTAAGGATCCCATCGCCTGGGAAGCTTATATTCTAGCAGAGGGAGACAAACAATACACATCATATAATAAATTATATAGGACGTTAGAAGGTAGGAGATCTGAGGGGAAAAGCAGGGTGGGCAGCAGTTACTGCCTAGTGGGCACTACCGAGGTGCCAGTGTGCTGAGCGCTTCACACATATGATCTCCTTTAACTCTCCCAAGAATGCTATGAGATTCCCACTTCAGAGATGAAGGACCCGAGGCTGGGTGAAGTGATTTGTCAATCATGCCACAGTTCAGTGGCAGAGGCGGGACGTGGACTCCGGTCTGTGCCTCTGACTGTACCCACATGGTCTCAGGAAAGTAAGACAGGGCACCATCTTCCTTACCCATCTTCCATCCTTGTCGAAAGGCGGGTTGAAGCGTCTGCCTTTGGCCATTAGCTGCAGGAACTGAGGGTGGATGAGGTTGGCTCCCTCACCTCTGCACCACCTCGTAAGCCCTACACATCTGGGAGCCACTCGCCCTCCTGGTTCCTGATCTTAAATTCTCAGCGTCTCCTAAGAGGATGGGACATCAGGACTGCCCGCTGTCGCCATAGAATCCAGCCCGCCCATCACAATGGGGGAAGAGTGTGGGTCTTCTAAGCTCTCTGAGCAGTCCTGCCGCTGGTTCCCTGCAGCGGCTGCTCGCCAATGTAGGAGGCAGCCAGCCAGCAGGTCCCAGCTGAGGGAGCCCCATAAACAGGTCAGGCAGGCGAGGGCCAGGTTGTCATAATGGCAGACTTTTATTACCCTCTGAATCCTTGAACCAATAATAGTTGAGTTGAATGTTCCCATGGTAACCATCCGCCCCAGCCTTTCAGTTTTCAGAGGAGTAAACTGCATCTGGGCTGGGGGTGACCTTGTCTGCATCAGCGGCATTGCCATGCCCATGGCCTCAGCCTTCTTCCGCGTTCTTTCCACGGCCGCCTCTGTGTCCCAGCTCAGACTCACTGCCCTACAGAGGACACACTCACTGCTCACCCACCTAGCTGCACACCACTGAGACCACGGGAAGTACCATTCACGGGAGATTCTGAAACGCCAGGTGCTGTGCTAACTAAACACCTTCCCGGGTTTTCATTTTATTTATTTTCCATGACAACCTTCGGCGTTTATAACCCAGAAAACACAGTCAATGAGCAACGGATGGGGCAGCAGTTCATGGAAAAGCTCAGAGCCGTCAAACGTCCTCAAGGGCCCCCTGGCCTTTCCCGGGCTCCTGAAAGCTGGCCTTCTCCCGGCCTGGACACACAATTCCACCTCACTTCTGTTCAGTAAGGTGCTGCCTGCTTTCTTTCTTTCTCCTGTTTAAACGCTGTGCCTTGACAATTCTCTTGGCTATTGCATGTGAGAATAAAAGTAAACATCTACAGGAGAGTCTGCCCAGCTCTCTTTCGTTAAGAAATTGTGTCCCCATCCCCCTCCTTCCCTACTCATTGACCCAGTGTTCTGACAAGAGTTGCCGTGTTAGGGACATGGGACCTTCTCCTCTGGCCAGCACTGATGGGCTCCAGAGAGGCAAGCTCCCAGAGGTAATGCCTGAGGTGTCACAGTCCTCTCGCTACCTAAGTCACATGGTAAGGATGGAGGAGGAGAAGGTAGTGGGCAGCCTCCAGGTACTGGGGAGCTGCTCTGCCAGCTCTAGTCAAGCAACCCTGTTAGGAGAGAAAAACAAGCCCTGCTGGGTTTCTGCTACCTGTTGGCAACCCCTCCAATGTGAGGCTGCTTCCCAATCTCACCATGCCGCCAGCCCCAGGGGCAGCTGCCGTCCTCATGGCCCCAGAGGGGCCCCTGCATTCCAGTCAGCAGGGTAGAAGAAGGGAGAAGGGGGTAGAGGTGGTGTCCCAGTGCATGATATTAGACTAATCCCAGCCCCTTGGTTTATAACACGCTCCTGTCATCGGCTCAGCTGCTTCCTTCTAAGGAAGGCTCCTTGCAGCTGCACTTCACCTTGTGAGCCATAACGTCCATGTTTGCCGAGGACTGCTATCTTCATTGTTTTATATAAATTTCACAACTGTCCCGGGAGATGTGCTGGTTATTTTCCTTTTGCGGGCCACCCCTCCCCTAACCCTGATTCGTTCCGCACCCATCTCCACCCTGTTCCGCGTCCTGCAGGCTAGTCGACAGAGACCGCATCCGATGTTCCCTTACCCTTTGGCTTTGGCTAGATTCATCCAACAGGAAGTACCAGTGGGGATTGAAGGGCAGGAAGAGATAGCTCAAAGCAGCGGTGGTGCTGATAAATGGTAACAAACAGCTCTCTAAGAAAAAAGGCGTCTGATTTGTAACGCTGTTTGCCAATTGCCATGGTGTAAATACTTCTAGCATAGTGGATTTTAAGCTACTAACATGGAGTTAGGAATAGATGTACACATAGGCTCAATACCCACCTGGGTCAAAGTATTGGCCTCCCAGGTTCCCTCCCACCCAGGCCATACGCTGGAAGGAGCTGTGTTCCTCCACCTCCATCCCCGCTCCAGTCAGGAGGAACCTTTCCCACAGCCAGCAGCTCTGGCTGTTAACAGCCCCCTCTCCCGGCCCCTTTGGCCCACGGGTGGACTAGGCTCCCTGCTCTCATGGGTCCCTTGTCAGCTCTGGTAACCCTGCCCACATCTCTGAGAGGAGACCTTTCATTAAATGGACTTCTGTCTTGGAGTGGGCCATTGGGTTCCTGCAGGGTCATGAGCCTAACCTAAGGCGAGTGTTACCAATAATCTCCACTTACAGATGAGGAAACTGCGTCCCAGAGAAGTGACAGGACTCACCCACAGGCACACAGCTAGTATGTGGCGGAGCCCAAACTAGAAGCCAGATGTACTGAGGTCGAGTTCAATGCCAGCATCAAACAGAGTTCATTGTGCTGCACTCCTGTGACCCTGTTAAATTGTGGGGCAGTGACTTTAGGAGGATTACTTTTCATTCCCTTTCTTTAATCTGCATAAAATGGCACCTGTTTAAATGCCTACCTCTTAGTCACGAGCACTCTCCACGTGAGCTCTGAGGGTCAGGGGTCAAATGGCTGACATCATGCACGACTGCAGTGGCCCTCACCAGTGGCAGCAAAGCTGGCAGCACTGTACAGATGAAAGGATGGACTGGTACACAGAGATGTGCCTCCCACACCCTAAAAATGAAAGTAAAGCAGTAAGAAGGGAGGAAGCCAAGGACTTAGAATTTAAAAACCTAAAAACAGTGTCGTTTCCAACACAGTATTTCATGTGCGTTCCCTTTGTCTCCACCAATGGAGCAGGAAGTCCTTCAGAGCTGAAATCTCATTTTTAAATACCTTTTGCATCTCCTCTGTACTCAGTCTTATGCTCTGCTAACCAAGCTATATAATCACGGGTTAAGGAGTGTTCCAATTTTCCCCCTTTGAATGCTTGTTGAAAATTCTAACCAATTTATCTAAGATAATCAAAACTGAATAAAGTAAACCCGGCCAGGAAAAACGAAATTCAATTTTTCTTCAGCTAGGATTTCTTAGTCCCAGATTGGGGTAGGGCTGTTCGTTTTAATATTATTATTTTCAGAGGTTTGAATTCCTGGGCTGACTTTTGCGACCCATCATTCTAAAAACAAGTTCTGGAGCCTGCAAGGCCCTCAGACCCATGGGACTGAGGACGTGAGAGGGCCAGGCCCTGTCCTGCCTCGCGCCTTTGCACGAGCTGGTCCCTGCATGGAATGCAGTGGCCCAGACTGGCCTGTTAGCCCGTCTGGGAAGGCGATGCTGAGCACATGGTAGTGTTTATTTACTCACTCAACAAATGTTTACTGCCTATCCACTATGCACCAGCACTGCTTTTAAACCGCACTAAGGCAATCACCAAAACCAGCTCTTTATAAATAGCAAATCATGAATTTGCCAATACGTCTCATGACCGATACCCCAAATTACTGATTAACCAAAACTTATTTTCCGTGAACTATCTACAACGTTTATAGCTAGTTGTGCTGTCCAATGTGTTGACGTGACAGCTGCTGTGTACTTAGACTTTGAGCTCCTTCACATCTGAAGTGTTAGGATTTTATGAAAGGTAGACATGTCTACCTCTTCCATGAGTTTCCAGTGCAGTGCACCATTCCTTGCTTTAATTAATGATCTGCTGTCTTTTGCAGGACAGTAGATGGTGGAATTATGGGTACTATGCAGGAATGTTTTCACACATGCGTCTGCACGTGCCCACCAGAGATGCCCCCCAGAAATTCAGACCCTGCACACACAGGCACACTTTGGTTTGTCATTCCACCAAATGAAAGTGTCACCTCTACATTCATGTCCACAAATCCTAGACAACTTAACTTGCATTTGGGAAGAGCCAACCCATCAGCATGTAAAAGGTGGAGTACCTGGGACATTATCGGACGTCTGAATTATAAAACATTTTTCCATGTCACCCTGCAAGGTAGACGATTGGCTTCTCTCTGCAGATAGTGACCAAATTAAGGGGACTCTGCACCCTTTTACTGTGACTCATGATTCACAGGGCGCTCCTGGAAATGGTCATGGACGCACAACACATAAGTGTGCTGTCTTGACAAGCACTTGCGCAGCTGTAGTGCAACGCATTTTCTGTTTTGCCCTTTGCTGCAAACTATCTGGAAAATTAACTGCATTTCTCTCCTTTCCACTCAAAAATGGAATTCCTGCATGAAGACAAGCAAGACTGACTGAAAGACAAGGGAGCTTGGCCAACATTCATGCAATTGAAAGGTAGAAATCTCACTGTAATTTTATACAACCCCTTGGACTCTGCCAATGTGCATGGAACCCCAAATTCAAATGACATGAGACATTGTTATTGTAACGACTGAATTTTTGATAGCCTTGCTGAAACAAAAATTGCTATGAACCTTTCACATCACTTCTAGAGAAGCTTTTGGTTAATTAATCATTTGGAGAACTGGTCACTCAGAGAAGGGTTGCAATCTAGCAAATTGTCCTGGATACAGTGAGGACGCGTACACACTGTCGCTGTCCTCGTGAAGCTGACCCTCTTATGGGGAGACAGACTTAATTACACAAATAATTGGTTACACTTGTGAGAGGTTCAGGGTGCCCCAAGGGCACATGACCAAGGGACCTAAGTAAATCTGAGAGCTGACCTGAAAGGTGAAGAAATGGAGTGAAGAATGACTGGAGTGAGCCAGGAGAAGGCCAGGAGCACATTCCAGGCAGGTGGAAAGGCCGTCAGAGACCCTGATGTTGGGAGGAGGTTGGCTCAATCAAGAAATGGAAAGGCAGCCATTCTTTATGACAGAGGATGGCTCAGGTTGGAGCAGGTGCTGTGGAGAGAAGTGGAAGGCAGTCTGAGAGCCGGGGACAGGAACCTTGCCCTCTGTGACCTTGACCAGCTAGTGGTCAGTAGGAAGAGTCCTGGCAAACAGGCAACACA